GGTTGGGGGTGGGGGGGGGGGGGGTAGTGTACAGAGAGCAGAGGAGTCAAACAATGCCACCAACACGACACGGCTGTTCCAGGATCCGACTTAATACCCTAGCACGACATTTCACACGAGGCACGTATACGCAGCCGGAAGGAGTCAATCATTTGTCGTTGAATGCTTTGTCCTGCTTCTGAACTCTGGAGCAAAGTGCGAGTGTATCAATACGTACTCCATACTACTGGCCTATATTCGTGTTAGTGGTTCCTTGAGATGCATCGTCAATCGAGCTGCTACCGCGGGGCCCTTGGCGCACATTTGTTTGAGCAACATTGAACGATGTGGCGTGGCGAATCCACGTGGACCACGATCGAGGCATTTCCAAGGCCCGGGTCCAGCCCTGGTCCTGGTCCTGGCACCACTTATTCAGGGCATCTCAAAGTGGAGGAGGTCGTCAACAGCTGACTCCCCGCTTCTTCGATTCTTTCCCCCCACGACTTTGACAAAACTGCCCCGTAGTCGACCCGACACATCGTATTTATTACTGGCCACGCATTATTCAGGCCGTCTGTGCGTGGCGGCGCCAACCGCACTATGCACAACAATCGCACAATAAGCCATCGATTAATACTACCTAGTGCTCTCTACAAGGTGCCAAAGTGACAACTTGTGCCCACTGGCCACCGAACTTCAGGTGCCTCAACGCCGTGGTCCTCCACCTTGTTCTCCCCGGTACATCAGCCCATCAGCCCATCGCATGTTTATTTACTTATACCAATTGGCCCAAATACCTACTGAGTACCTACCTAGGTATATTTTAGGTACAACACCTGCACAAGCGCGTATTACAAGTATTGTAGGTACGCAGGATGCATAAGGCTGGCCGTTGGAGGTTTGCGCATTATGCATGCATATTGCATGCTGTACTCGAAACTGCCAATAACTACCTAGGTACCTACATAGGCACCTGCTTTGGGTAGGTATATGTATGTAGTTGCTTAACTATTAGCTGTCCGCCGGCATTTGGTAGGCTCTTACCGTCATCTCGCAGTGAGCAGCTTACCTGGCTCCTTCAATGTTGTGATCTGCGGCTTGAGATTTGCAGCTTGGCGCTGGGTCTGCCAGGTACCTTACCTGACTGGCCTGGACGCTGAAGCGCGTATGAGCATCCC